AGACCTCAGAAAGAAGTATCCTCTTAGTACTGCTGTGGCTCATGAAAATTCATGGTCAACTAAGGTACCAGGGCAAGGGTATTTCTCTTTTCAGCCAAAACAAACAGAAAGGCTATTTCCGTGACTAAAGATCAACAGAGCAGCATGCATAAACATTTATGCATATTCCAAAGTTATGTGTAACGTGAACGTCCCTAAAATGTTATCTATTTATTTGCTGTTGAATACGGGTGTGGAAAAGCGTGAGTCATTTTTAATGGAAACACAAAAGGAGAACTGCATAGGAAAATGGTCCAGGGTAGAGCTGTTTTCCCTGCAAATGAAGATCCTAGGGCTCTGGAAGACTAACAACAAGTGGGTTAAAGATACATCAATCTTTGTGTGCCTGGGGCGTTCTCTAGCCCCACAAGACTTGATGATCTCTGTATGGCTGAGGATGGGGCTGGCTGCCCATTAACTTGCTAAATGCTGAAATGCCAGATGTTGGTAATAACTGTGATGGATTCTGACATTTATAGAGCACCCTGTACTTTCTGATCTATGAGAGACCAGCATTTTTTCTATCAGGATTCATGGATGTGAGCCCGCTGATGAGTTGAAGAGAGGTAGATCCTCCCAGCCCTAGCAGCTTTTACCAAAGGAGCACCTGACATACTCCTGTCAGGAGCTCTGTGGACTTCCAGGGATCTCTGAGAAAGACCAAGTCCACGGGCAAGAGGCTGATCAATTTTGCAAAAGTCAAAAATCTTAACCATTTCCAGAAACTGCTAGTTATATCAGGCATGTTCTTAAAACCCTGGGCTGGGCTGGACTGTTACTGGTCTGTGAAGCAGCAGGGTGGTGTTCAGAAGCTTCCTTTGACTCCCTGAGACTTTATGTCTTCTTGCAACATGAGCCAGAATAAGATGAAAAACCAGTCAGGGTTTGCTGTTATGTAATATATAACAGTTCCAATCTGGAAATAACCTAAATGTCCAACATCAAGAAATGGTTTAACAAAATTTTAGACAGCAACAAAAAACAATGTTATGCTTTCACTATAATGAATAACTATGAAGACTGCAGAATGTTTTCCTACTATAGTTAGGATAAAAGGCAGAATACAAAATCTATACTATATATATACACACTAT